CCCCCTCCTATCCTACTCCATGGCACTACTCTCTTTCTAAACCCAACTATTGGCACTCGCATATTTTTTATTTTAACTAACCTTTCTTGATTTTTTTTTCATTCATCCCTTTTTCCAACTTTCATTTAACCCTCCCTTTACTGTTCCTTCTTCCCAAACGTTATAGTTTTCCCTCCCTATTTAACTTCAAACCTCCCAATCTTAAAACCTCCCAATCTTAAAACCTCCTCCCTTCTTTTTTTTAACTCTTTTACATTCATTCTCTACCCTTTCTTAACCCTTTCACCCACTCCCCTTCCAGTCTTAACCCTTTCACCCCCTCCCATTCCAGTCTTAACCCTTAAACTTCCCTCCTTCTTCCCTTTTATACAGCTCTGTAAAAACTTTTTTTATGGCAAGTTTCAACCACCTTAAAAGTCGATTTGACCCTTTCCCATAAACTTTCCAAGCCCCCCCCCCTCTCCACTTCCCCCCTTGCCTCTCCCCTCTCATAATATCTTTATATCTGGTATATTGTTTATTCTCAGAGTATAGTTTCCATATGCGGCACTGTGTTTTTCTTTTCATCTCGTTAAAATGAATTTATGAAATAAAAAAATCATTTAGGAAGAAATAAATACGCTTTCAAACCTTCGACCCCAACCCACCCTACATCCTTTATACACCCCATATTCCTTCCTTCATCCTTTATCCTTCTTTTTCTTTCTTTCTTTACATCGGGACCCGTGAAACTATTAAATAGGAAGGGACAGCAATTGTTCAGTGTGAACAGGACAAGTTCACAAAATAAACTTTTTTCTAGCAACTGGTCAAATTATTTCCTATAAAACAACATCAAATACAAATAAGATTGCTGAAATGACGTCTTCCTATTCCACAGTTTTATGGGTCCTACTGAACCCGAATCGATTTCTTTTTATCCACTATGATTACTTACTCTTTTTCATCTTCTTCCTTATTTACTCATTTTTCCTTTTAAAGCAAGCTCTGTAAGGTTCAAGAATAAAGGATGAATGAAAGTATAAAAATTCTATTTTAGATCCTCCTCGGAACCATATCGAGCCCCTGGAGACTGAAAATCTATCCGAGGGAGACCCTGTCCGCCTCGTCTGCTCCGTCTCCGCCAATCCTCCGGCGGAAATTGAATGGATCCGGGAAGGAACCGGAGAACTTGTCTCCAAGAAGGCGGAGCTGATAATTCCTGCGCTCTCAAGGGAGCATTCGGATACTTACATTTGTCAAGCGCGTAATTCCCTTGGGCTGAGCGCGCCAAGGAAGATCCCTCTGAGCGTGAAATGTGAGTATAAGCTTATACTTTATATAAGGACTTAAATCCCCCCCACACACACACATGTTAAAGATATATTTCCCCGGAAAGGCCAGAAATCTCAAGTTTACAAAATATTTTCCTAAAACATGAAGCAAAAAGTATTCATGAATTTATTTAACTTTTCCCAAATATTTAGATCCTCCGGTTGTAAAATCTGTTGGACCTGCCCTGGCCTTGAAGAAGATGGTTGGAGATGAGGTGGAGCTGACCTGCACAGCTGAAGGATTCCCTGTTCCAACCTATACCTGGATACAGCTGGTTGACAAGACCGAGGTTATACGAGGAGAGAGTCGGATACTTCATCTTCCTAAAATCAACTACAAGGATCAAGGAGTTTTTATCTGTCAGGCGGAGAATACTATCAAGGGAGTGAAGAGTATATCTAGGAGTGAAACCATATCTCTTGAAGTGGAAGGTTCTCCCGTCCTTGACTCCAAGGAGTCGAACCACTACGTTGTGACTGGGACGGATGCTAGGGTTGAGATTGAGTTCTGTGCAGATCCCCAACCAGAGATAACCTGGATCAAGGTTGGAGTAGAAGAGAAGGTTCTGAGCCATGACGGAGAAGATTACTCGGTTGAAGAGGTAGCTCAGGGTTCGAGACAGGACTGCTATATATCCGCTCTGACTGTTCTAAACCCCAGTAAGACGGAGACCCATGAATACGTACTCAAGCTAAAGAACCCCCATGGAGAGGAGAGCCATGTTGTCAACCTACGGGTTGGAGAGGTTTACTCCCAGGAGACTCTAATCGGAGGTGTTATTGGAGGATGCGTTACAATCGTCCTGATTCTCTCCATCTTTGTGTTCTCCTGCAAACGGTGCTGTAGTACGGATAAGAAGATAAAGCAGGATATTGAAAGGTAAATTCTTATTCTTACTTTTTTTTTGCTTTTCATCTTTTCCTTTCTTTTAAAAACTCATCCTTCTTCCTTCTTGATTTTATTTCTTGCCAGAGTATATATATATATATTTTTAGAGGAATGGCTTTTTTATGTTATACAGGGTGTCCCAAAAAAAAACATGGGAATTCAGTGACCAATTCGATATCGTCTTTGTTATGAATTAGCATTGTAATACCTAATTTCAAAAGCCATAATATAATTATGTCTGCTAGAATTTAATTTATGAAAACGGTAAATGGCTGTAAAGATGTGTCAATAATTGGCCAATTTCTTAGACGTTCTACCATTGGTAGAACCATAGTCACACTATGGTTACGCTTTACCAGAGCAGTGTAGATAGATAGATACGACCTATAGTTGTACCTATGGTTAAATGAATAATGGCCAATTTCTTAGACGTTCTACCATTGGTAGAACCATAGTCACACTATGGTTACGCTTTACCAGAGCAGTGTAGATAGATAGATACGACCTATAGTTGTACCTATGGTTAAATGAATAAGAAATCGGCCTAATGTGTCAATGAACAGTGAAGACGGACAAGTTTACTCTGTTTGTATACTGCAATTTTCTTGTTTTACTAAGTACAACCGTATGCAGTCAAAACATAAACAAACAAAATGTGAACATAGCAAACGAAACTCTTACAGATGATAGCTTTCTCCGTAGGTATCACTATACTAAATCAAAGAATTATTTGAAAAGACGATATCGAATTCGTCACTGAATTCCCATGTTTATTGGGACACCCTGTATATTAATGAATACCAAGAAAGGGATGGTATTTTTTTACCATCCCTTCTTGTTTATAATGTTTTTATCACCTAGTTTCTTTAATTCTGTTAAATTCTATTTTTCTGACATTATCCATTTCCTTTCTAAATATCCTCAGTTTGATTTGGATTAAAACCACTAAATTGTATTCTCTAGCTCAATATTAACAGAGAGAGAGAAGGAGGAAGGGAGGGATTTAATTTTGGTTAATTTTATTGCATGGTACATTCAAATTTTCCAGATAATATTCTTGTCCTGTTTTAATCTTCTTCTTAGTATTTAAATATTTGCAGATTATAATTTAAAAGATTAGTTGACGATTCTATTCAAATTCCGAGGATTGAGACAAGAATATTATCTTTTTTCGTTTGCATGTTTTTCTTTTTATTTAGTTTTTTTAGTTTTTGTTTTGAATTTCAGTCCGGGTTGGTCAAGTGAAGAGAGTGAGGTTAGTTCTGTTTGTCAGCACTCGGATGTCAGCTCTGGAACTAACCCTGTCAAGGGTTCAGGGGTACCCGGAGTGGTTTATAGAAACTTTGATGGGAGTCAGCAAACGACGTCTGACGGGAATAGTATTTCATTCCCCGAGACGTCGTCTTTATCAGAGGTAGGTTTAGTTTCTCCGGAATACCTGGATACGAGGTAGGTTCAATATCTCTTGGATAAAGCTGTATCCAGACAGGTTTAGTTTCTCCAGGATACACTTAAAGCTGGATACAAGGTAGAATCATTTTTCCTGGATACATTTGTAGCTGTATTTAGGCAGGTTTAGTTTCTCAAAGATACATTTAAAGCTGGATCTCCTAGGGAGGTTCGGTATTTCTCGGATATATTGAGGGCCGGATAGTGGAACCAGGTAGGTTTAGTTTCTCATGAATACATTTAGAGCTTGACCGAGGTAAATTCGGTTTTTCCGGGATACATTTAAAGCTGGGTCCGAGTAGGGTTTGTTTTCTCTGGGATATATCGAGAACTGGATACCAGGTAGGTTTAGTTTCTCAGGGGTACATTTAAAGCTGGATCCGAGGTAGGTTCGGTTTCTCTAAGACACATCGAGAGCTGATAGTGAGCTAGGATTGGTTTCTCCAGGATTCATCGAGATTTCTATCTTGGTTTCAGTGTTTAGAAAACCTATTCTATGATAAAGTTAGAACTGAATTGACAAGATCGAGAAATGATACTAGGAACCCATAATAATATCCTTAAATTCCCGGGTTGAGCAACAATAAGCAAAGTAAGGTTATTGAAAATCTCGAATTTTCATATATTAATTAAGTTTGCATTTGATTCTAAACTATATAATAGAGAGTCATTAGAATTTCACAAGGTAAATCAGTTTTACTCAGGGATAACCTATTTATTCAGGAGAAGGTAAGAAATATGTTTTGTTTGATTGACACGTGTTTCTCTGCATGGTTTGGTTTCTTACTCCCTTATGTTCTGCATGAAGAACGTTCTCTCCCTGAAAAAGTTAAATCTAGGAGAACTAGAAATAATTAAATCCAGGTTTGAGAACTAAGGACCACCAACGTAGTTCCAGTTCTCCTCCTCCTGCCCTAGTTTAGAGCAATCTCAACCTTTTACCGAGCAAATGTGAAACTTGCAAAACTGCAAAGATTTCTTGATAAACATCCTTCCCACTCTACTACTCTAACTAGTTATCTAAAAGCTTCTAAACATTAATTTATTCCTTCTGTTTATCTTTAAATCTAAAATTTTCTAGATTAAAATAAATTTTCTTTTTCAGGAATGTTTGACTTCCCGTGGAACGGAAAGCGCTCTGTCCCACAACTATAATTTCTCCCAACGTTCCGATAGCTCTATGTCCCAAGCCTCAGTGTCCCAGGGTTCCAGCATGTCCCCCCGGAGCCCTGTGTCCCCTGTGACCTACAGTGACCTCTGCTTCCCTAAGACGTCCAACTACGGGAGTATGAGGAAGCAGGATAGATGGGAGGTCCCTGCTAGACTCAGTACACGGCTGTGAACAAAAGATCGAACTTATTTATCGGTTTTATTACACCCAGACCATACAACACAACATCTACCAACATACTTCTGTTGAACGCATGTGAAAACATGATTAACCTGACTCCGAAACTTTGATTTGATTGTCGAGAAGTCAAATATAATTGCAGGTTTGTCAGTCTAGGTTCCCAGGTTCAAATCTAGACTTGAACCGAGACAATCTCAGTGACTTATGTGAGAAGAGTTTGGGCATTATTTCTTCTCCTCCTTGGCTCCCTCTGCCTCAGGCCTAGATAGATTACACATAGTTCTTATTCTCCTTAAACCCTAGTTCTCACCAGCTTTCTGTTTCATTCCAACTCTGATCATAGTTCCTTTAAATCTCATTTTAATTCGTTCCATTATCCTATTCCCTCCTCCGTACCTTAAACCCTACCCTGAGTAATGTAAGCTCCGTTTCAAAATCAAATCCTGCACGGTAATCCTACCGCGCTCAATGGAAGGGAAAATAGAGGAAGGAGTGAAAAATTGTAATAAACTTGAAGAGAGACATGGAAAATGATATTCTCAAATCCCTCTCTCATATCTGAAATCTAAAACCTTATCATAAAAATAATTGAACTACTTTTTTATCATTTTATAATCGCCATCTCATTTTTCCTATTCCATTCTTTTCTTTCCTCCCCTTACACTTAGTGGCAGAGGCTGAGGAAGCCTATTTAAAGTCTAGTCCTTAATTGATATATTTCTCCGTAGCCCGGCCTAACCAACCCCCACAGCCTAGATACAAATGTAAACTTCCAAATAAATAAGGATAAAACCAGCCTACGGAGAAATTACTCAATTGACACTTTTATTATTATTTAACACAATTCTGTCTCATGTACACTGTACATTATACAACTATTAAAGCTTGCATGCTTTTTTATACAAACCTGGCGAGTGTACCAAAAATTTTGCTAATGCTAAATGTGACATAAATATGTATTACGAGACTCAGACGACCCCCCTCCATCCCACATATGAATGTCCGGGCATGTTTTTAAATTTTCAATTATCTAAGGACGTCTGAATGGGCCCATCAATAAAGATTTCCAACTAAACATTAAATTCATCAACAGTTAAACGGTTCTTCATGCAGTTTTTACCCCCNCCCCCCCCCCCCTCCTATTATCACACTCAGATCCACTCTGAAAATTTAGTCAAACTCCCAGTGATTTCACGTTGTATAAACCAGTGCTGAAATATATCCATTAGAGTGGATTGTAAAACTCAAGTATAGACCCTGAACTGAATAATTCCTCCAGTGTTGAACTAGACCCTGAGCTGGATTGAACCCTCCTATGTTTAAGTAGACCTAGAGCTTGTTGTGATCTCACTCCCAGGTGTTTTGTATGTTACCAAAGCTAAATATACATTCATAAAATTATATTTGTATTCCTTCAATTTTTGTATTTTAAAGGGACTGTACACGTAATTTAAAGTAACTTCCCAAGTTGTCTGATCAAGCAAATGCATCATTTTCTCTTTGAAAATTAATCATTTTCAAGTTTGGTTTATCTATTCAGTGACTTGCGCAATTTATGTTTATTTTGCTGATTTTTGCGCATTTTCAAAAATAACAACTGTCCACATTGTTTTCGTGCTGAATTTTTCATCTTTATAGCCACCCAAAAGCCTTCCCTGGGAGTATCTTGCCAGGGATCATGTAAGTTACCACACAAAAAATTCGATTTACCCATTTTGACGTTTATTGGATATACAGGGTGTCCCACATCATATTAGACCGTCAACAGGTCTAAATTGCGATTTTCGGGACTGATAAGAAAATTTAATTAGAATAAATCAATTTGAAAAATAACATAAGGCTTATATAATAATTTTCTTGCGGAAAAAGATAAGTTTTTCGAGCATTAAGGGTTTATTTTGTCGTTAAAGATTAGAGATAATCTAATATGATATGGGACGCTCTGTAGTGTAGACAGAGAATCAAAGTAAGATAACAAAGACATACTTAAATTTGGTTTCTTTAATCGTTTGAAATTTTGAACGAAATTTTTCATTTTTTAAAGAATCGTTTAAGAAAAATAAGGTTCTCGAACATATTAATTATCTATCTATCTATCTATCTATCCATCTATCTATCTATCCATCAATCGAGCTATCTATCTATTTATCTATTAATTGAGCTATCTATCTATTTATCTATCAATTGAGCTATCTATCTATTTATCTATCAATTGAGATATTTATCTATCTATCCATCTATTTATCTATCTATCTATCTATTTATCTATCCATTTGCATATTTCTGTATCTATATCTATCTATTTTAAATCAAGGGGGGAGGGGGGGGGGATAAAAACCCTTGATNGGGGGGGGAGATCATTATCAAATATCTTTTGACCATCTTTGACCCTAAAATCTAACCTTTTTTATGCCAAGCTCAAAGCATAAACATTGGACAGGAAGAGAGAGAGGTAGAGAGTTATCTAATTAGTTGATTAAAATGAAAATCCTAAATCATTAAAAAAAGTGACATAAGAACTATTTATCACAGCTTAAAGGGGAAATTATGAACAGGATTAATTATTGTAAAAACATGCTATTTCCGTTCCAGGGGTCGTGTAAGGGTTGGGTCTGTGAGAAAAAAGTTTTAAATCTTTTAAGAAACGAAATGTTTAGGTAAAGATTGGTATTGTTGTGGAATATGGCAGGATGTTGGTTTGAAATAGAAAATTGGAAGGATACTAAATAAGGACAAATAAGGAATTGAGTCTTTGCCACAAGTTCAAATTTTCTAATTCTTATATCTTTGCAACCTGACTTAGTTAACTTTGATATTTCAAACTTAGTTTATTTAGTCTAACAGAATTCATAGTTTGAAAAATCTAAGGTCTACGAAATTAGATTGCAAAGATATTGGGATTAGATTATCACAGTTTGGGGCACAGACTCAATTCCCTTGAGTAACAAAAGAAATTGATTAAATGCATACAAATTTTGCAACCTTGCATTTCCACTATTTTTAATTTTACTTTTAATAATGAAAAAAGCAAACTTGTTCCTTTGCATGAATGAATTAAAAACCCTGGAAAAAAATGAGCCAAATTAATGCGTAATGGATTATGTATCAAGAAGAGGGAAAATGTAAAAAGAATAATTCGAATTTTCACAAGATTTACTTTAAAAATACAGAGAGTGAGTATAGAGTAGGTTTGAATTTTTAATGGCATGCTAGTTAGGTTTTTGATTAGTATAATTCAAGCCATACAATGGAAAACAGGAAAATAAAAAGTCGAGCTCAAGAAAATACATAGTAAAATTTGTTAAGAAAGAACTCATAACGTGCGACAAAGCTCTCCAGGTTGTTTTTACAATTAAGATTTGTTAGAGAGGATGACTCTCTAAAGTTCTATTAGGGAACCGAAAGATAATGATTTATGATTTGCGGCAAACTTACTGAGTGTCCCACTAAACAAGATGATAGAGAGACATCTTGATGATCGTTGTGATCGTTGATAGCTTGCTAATAACAAAGTATGATTCTAAAAATGGTAGCTTGAAATATAATTAATCAGATTGATCTATAGGTGGCTGGGAGAATATATGATAGGGATTGATCTAGTGTAGTTGGGATTAATCTAGAGTAGTTGGGATTGATCTAGTGTAGTTGGGATTGATCTAGCATGGTTAGGATTGATCTAGTATGGTTGGGATTGATCTAGTGTAGTTGGGATTGATCTAACATGGTTGGGATTGATCTAGTGTAGTTGGGATTGATCTAGTGTAGTTGGGATTAATCTAGTGTAGTTGGGATTGATCTAGTGTAGTTGGGATTGATCTAGCATGGTTGGAATTGATCTAGCATGGTTTGGATTGATCTAGTGTGGTTAGAGAATGATCTAGCATGGTTGGGATTGATCTAGAATGACTGGGAGAATGATTTAGCATGGTTGGGGTTGATCTAGCATGGTTTGGATTGATCTATTGTAGTTGGGATTTATCTAACATGGTTGGGATTGAATTAGTGTGGTTAGAGAATGATCTAGCATGGTTGGAATTGATCTAGCATGGTTTGGATTGATCTAGTGTGGTTAGAGAATGATCTAGCATGGTTGGGATTGATCTAGAATGGCTGGGAGAATGATTTAGCATGGTTGGGATTGATCTAACATGGTTTGGATTGATCTATTGTAGTTGGGATTTATCTAACATGGTTGGGATTGATCTATTGTGGTTGGGATTGATTTAGCATGATTGGGATTAATAAAGGTGGTTAGAGAATGATAGCATGGTTGGGATCGATATAGGATAGATGGGTGAAAGATTTAGCATGGTTGGGATTGATCTAGGTTAGCTGGGAGATTGATCTAGAATGTTTTGGGTTAATCAAGGTGGTTGGGAGAATGATCAAGCATTGATCTAGGATGGCTGAGCCTAGCGGGAAGAATGATCTGGCATAGTTAGGTTTGGTTTAAGATTATTTTAATAAGGATTTCTAGTAACTAATTGACCGAGGGTGTCCCCCAGTAGTCCAGCTCCTAATTTAAACAAAATCTTGAGATATCATTCAAAATGTAAAACTAGACCTCAAGCACTCCGATTCCTTTCTGATTCTTACATTAAAAAACGACATCATTATGTCCACGATTCAAGGAAGAAATATGGTATTTGAAAATTGGGCGGACAGTTTAGATTGTGAGTATCGTGATTGAACTTTAAACCTTTTTGTCCATATCTGATTCCATCTAGGCATAACAAGGTAACCTGGGAACTGCTAATCATAATATTTAATCATTTGGCTTGGATCCAGTCCTTTACTCAACCCTTACACACACATTGTCATATTCATGAACTTGTAAATACATCATTGAGTCATACCAAGGGTAGGTAAGGTAAGAATATGAAACTAAATATTTTCAAATTGTTTTGAATAATTAATCCAAATTTTATATGTACAAAAAAAATATTTCAGTTTTTTTTAATATCAATATATATATTTTACACGTCTGTCTGTCTGTCTGTTTGTATCCAATTTTCAAAACGGCTGAATCTATCGGGCCCACAGCTAACATGTCCCCAGGGCAAGGAACGTTTATGCCTGGTAGAAATTGAAAAATGTTGCCCTGACAAAATTTGGAAATTTTTAATTTTTTTAAAATGCACCAATATAAACATTAAATCCGCGAAAACTTAAGAACAATTACATCTTTCAACGCTAGTTTTGTCTCCAGTTTCCAATTTACGACTCCTACTTCTGCTTCAAGTATTTTTATCTTATTTTTACCAGGCCTTGCACCTGTCAAGGTGACACAAGCCAAGCCGGCATTACGCAATAACGCAACCTTTATAAGGAAATATGTAAAATCAATTTGCGTCAAATATGTTGGTTTGGTTTTCTAAAAAATGCGAACAATTTAATCAAACCTTGAATGCTAAAGAAACAGAGTCAGGAATGTTTCTCGTTGCAGGCCTTAAACATTTAAGGTAAAGTTTAAAACTTAAAATAGATTTAAAGGTGCATAACTGAGAATGCAGTTTTTTTTTCTGAAAAAAACATGACGGAGACATTTATGTTTTTAATCTGATAAATGACTATTAACTTCCGCAAATTCTATCACAAACAAGATTGGGGACTTATACATATCCCTGACGAGTAATAAAATGACTGTTCCTACTAAGAAAATCGACGAGTTTTAACTTTGCACCATCGTTTCTTATATAGTGGTCAAATTATAATATCTGGGTTGTTAATTGTTTATGTCACTTTAAAATTACACTGAAACCCCTTTAAGTCGATGGGTTTGGGACGAAAATATTAAATATTCAAAATAAACACTTCCTTTAAATGTATAATACGTATGTAGTGGCAATACATATTTCTCAATTTAATCTCAAATTTTTACACTCATTAATTCCGGGCTGGATTTTCCAAATGTTTAATTATTCTAATTTTCGTCTTAAATCTTGATTTTAATCTTATTTAAACCCCCGGCCCCTCTTGTCCTAATTATTCGCAGAATTCCTCTTCTACTTTATTTCTATAGTAATAAAACTATCCCTGCTATCTTAAAATACCAGAAGAAAATTACAGAGTTGCAGAAGTCAAAATGTCCTTTTTTCATCTATTGTAGCAATTGATAGGAGTTACATGGATTTCCCACTGAATGTTGCTATTGATTGATTAGAGATAGTCATTGATCTTTGCTACGTGCGTATTTATCTATGAAAGGAGTGTTGAGTCTTTGTCACAAAGACCAAATAATCTAAGATTGAAATATCAAAGGTCTACACTATCAGATTTCAAAGACCTAAGGATTAGAAAATTTGAGTTTGTGGCAAAGACTCAATTTCTTTTCAGATGTTTGAGATGAAACATCCTATCCATAATTTTGTAATCAATGAAATGTCCATCTCTAAAATATC